TCAGCCTTTCTGCTCCTATGATGCTGCTTGGCCTGCTGTGTTCATCCAGCTCTGCTCCACGTCAGAGTCCGGAGGTTCAAGTCTCATTCCATTGACCAGAACACAATCTATCCTATGACGAGAGTTCAATGCAATACTGAGAGAGTGTTGAGATAACACAGTGTGGAGCTGGAGGAACACCCGCAGGCCAGGCAGGAAAGTTGATATTTCGGGTTGGGACCCTTCTTCAGAAAAAGTTGATTTTCTGAAGAAGGGTCCTGACCCAAAACGTCAGCTTTCCTGTTCCTCCGGCTTCACACTGTGTTATGGTTGTAGATTTAGAATCATAAAATCCCTATGCTGTGGGAACCAACAGGTCCACACTGCCCCTCTGAAGAGCATCCCACCCAGACCCATTCCCCTAACCCTGTATTTCCCATGTCTAACACTCCTAGCCTAAACAGCCCCGGGAACTATAGCATAGCCAATCCACCTATCATGCACATCTTTGGGCTGTGGGAGGAAATCCACGTAGACACGGACAGTCGTCCGAGGCTGGAATCGATCCTCGGGTCCCTGGCGCTGTGAGGCAACAGTACCAACCACTGAGCCACCATCCATTTAGAAATTCACATATTCGTTAAACAGCCCTTTTCTGCTCTTGGTGGATTAGTGTGCAATAGTCTCTGCATAATCTAACGTAAATATTAGCTAGAAAGTTTTAAGTCGACAATGTCCTAGTAGCAGCATTCTTCAGAAGGGTCCTGACCCGAAACGTCAGCTTTCCTGCTCCTCTGATGCTGCCTGGCCTGCTGTGTTCCTCCAGCTTCACACTGTGTTATCTCTGACTCCAGCATCTGCAGTTCTTGCTATCTCTGACTGTGAGAGTGTTGCCCTGCCAAAAGTGCTGACTTTTGGCTGAGATGTTAAAAGTTGGCTGGCCCTGCCCTTTCAGATGATGTAAACTATCTTAGGAGGCTACTTTGAGGTGTAGGATTTCTCTCCATTGTCCGATTGATATTTATCATCAAAACAGACTAACTGGCCTCTAACGAATTGGTGCTTGTGGGATCTTACTATGCGTAGTTTGGCTGTTGGATCTCTCTTCTTACATTATTAACCACAGTTCCAATGTGCTCCATTACCTGTAAAGCGCTTTTAGGTCATGAAAGGTGTTATATAATTGCAAGCTTTTTGTTCGTTTTCTGATTGTTAGCGCTTGCAGCAATGATTTCAATTTCCATGGCGTCGACTTGATTATCGACACAGCATTAAGGGCTCAGGATTTTGGCTCAAATATTAAAGGCTTCAGATACTGGATATAAAAACAGAAACTGCTGGAAAAGCTCAGCAGGTCTGACAGTACCTGTGGAGAGAAATCAGAGTTATCGTTTCGGGTCTTCAGTAAGGGTCACTGGACCCGAAAATGTTAACTCTGCTTTCTCCCTACAGATACTGCCAGACCTGCTGAGCTTTATCAGCAATTTCAGTTCCACCTTCTGGCTTCCAGCATCCGCAGTTCTTTCGGTTTTTCGATATTGGATGAAACATAATCCTAGTTTTTATTATTTCAGTGATCGTGATGAGAAAAGACAAAACGATGGGCAAACAGGAATAAAGGGTGGGAAAGCACTAATGGTAAACGGGTAAAATGAAACTGAAAGGAAGGAGAAAGGATTGTAGGCGTAAATCGTGTGCATAAAAATGAGACATTAGTAAAGGGTAACCAAAGCACTAGGAGAATATGACCAAAAAGTGGATGCAGAAAGGATAAATCAGACCAAGACACAAAGAGAACAAGCGCTATATTGTCTGACGCTTTCCCAATGTCCTGAATTGTACTGGATTTCATCTCCTACAGCCACGAGTGGAGCTGTTTGCTTTAATTCCGTGGATCGAAAAAAAAAGGTGGCTTCTGCTGTGAAGCGTTTCCGGAGCAACACTCTCCAATTGCAGCACCAACAACTTCCCACCCCCAGCCACCCTCCTCCACCCCAAACACACCCACCCAGAGCAAACCCCCCGCAAATCGGATTGAACAGAGCCGAGAGCCGGGCACCAGAGGAGTTTTCCAGGCACCGTGACGTGCCTATTCTCCCCGATACACTCCCAGCTCCTGCCTGGGGGAACCAAGCGAGACATCAACCATTTCCAAGTGCGGATTGTAGGGGAATCTGCTGCTGCTACTTCTCGGCTGTCACCAGCTTGGGCAGGAGGTCTGTTCGCTCTTACCGTTCCTCCTTCCCTCTCACCCTCCAGTCTGGCGCTGGGTTTGTGAAGCCACATCTAACCTTTCGGTGTTTTCAATGAGCGTCTCAGAGGAGAGGAGAGGAGACACGTGTACGGAGCAGTTGTAGGTGCAGAGGCGAAGGTAAGTGACCCATTGTGCAGTCCGTGAATGAAACTCCACCAGATCCCACCCACTGGCCGAGGGGATGGGGGGATTAGCTCGGCTGGACACGAAACAGAAGCCAGGCACAGCTCGGTCTTTATTAAATCGTAAGGAATTCCACGCCCCCCCCCCCCCCGACCCCCTTTCTCTGCTTGACTTCTCTTTTTAAGTCGAGACAAACAAACCCCTTGTCCATCCCCTCCCCCTCTTTTTTTTTGATTTACCAGCAAGCGGAAGGCTCTGACCCTCTCTCTTATGTCTGTGCTGTAAAGTTTGGTTCGCTCCTTGCATGTTAACTGTCCTTTCACTGCGTCGGAATGTCGTTCGTCTGAAAACGAAAGAGGCCAGGCCAACATCTCTTACTGTGCAGTTCCCCTTTTCTTTGACTGAGTGAAACCCCAGTTTTTCTCACGCCAAATAATCAGTCGTTTACAGTTAATAGTCAGTTCATGAAAGGTGACTGGAAAGCAGATGCTGCACAGCCAGGTATTGGGAGGAAACCCTTATAATACCCGCAACTGCAAACTTTCAAATCTTCCTTAATGTTCTTGTATCTTTTTAGTTAATATTGATTTGGAGGTTGTTTTTTTTTCCAATAACTGAAGATAGCCTAATTGCAATATTGACTTAATATGGTATTTAGCATTGCTAATAATAGCATAAAGAGACACGCAGTGTAGTTGGCCGGAGTGGGCAAATTATTGTCCTGATCCGTATAAACATGATGCGGTTTCGTGCTGGAAATGTACATTTTCACAGTCTAAAGCAGCCCTCTGACGTCCAAGGCTAGGCACTCCCAGGATCCCAGCGCGACGGGTTATGCCCAATGTATACAGGAACAAAGATAAACCAATCCACCTCAGTTATTCATGCTTCATAACTGCATCAAAAAAAAATTGTGTAAATAGTTTCAAAACACCCACTAAATTGAAGGGTTGAAGTCCGTCATCCGGTGAGGCCGGCTTTATTGAAGTGGTATCCCTGGACGATGTTTGACACCTTGTTAGGCCGATCCCATTTGCTCAGTGCAGCTGGAGCTGTAGCTCTCAGCTTGGGGTTCCTGCAGTGCCAGATTTCCCCACAGTTTATCATTTTCTTGAAAAAAAGAGCATTTGTAACCAATGTATATTTTATTATACAATGATTATTGATCTGTGTTTATGTATGTTGCATAACAAGACAGAACCTTTCAAGTTTTTGCACTGCTGTTTCCTTTCTTTGGGTAGTTGATTTGGCTTTGTAAAATGTCAAGCAAAAAATCAGTCTCTCGTTTTATTGACACAACTTGTATGCACATTCCTGGTGAACTGAAGACCAAAGTGCACACAGTGTTGGAGATAGTAGGAACTGCAGATGCTGGAAAATCTGAGATGACAAGGTGTAGAGCTGGATAAACACAGCAGGCCAAGCAGCATCAGAGGAGCAGTAAGGCTGACGTTTCAGGCCTAGACCCTTCATCAGAAATGGGGGAGGGGAAGGGGGTTCTGAAATAAATAGGGAGAGAGGCGGAGGCGGATAGAAGATGGATAGAGGAGAAGATAGGTGGAGAGGAGACAGACAGGTCAAAGAGGCGGGGATGGAGCCAGTAAAGGTGAGTGTAGGTGGGGAGGTAGGGAGGAGATAGGTCATTTCCAGGGAGGAGGGACAGGTCAAGGGGGCGGAATGAGGTTAGTAGGTAGGAGATGGGGGT